GTTATGTTGCCCCCATAGGCAATGTCCAGACACAAGAACTGACCTGTTTGTTGCTGGACACTGTTGGATACGAGGAGGTCTGTCCGAGTCGACTCGGGTGTCACCCAGCTCGGATGTCACCTTGCTCGGATGTAATACCAACAGGATACAGGAATGTCCGAAGTAAATGTCATTTGGATTGAATAATCCAAATTTGTTATTTGATAGCAATTCTCAAATCATTCTGACAGCGCTGAGATTTTAATATAACTTCTTTCACTATTTCAGAGGAACTTTTCGATCTTTATCAAGCGGCAGACTTGCTTCACGGCTTCTACAAGCTTTAACTGTCACGCAAAGATTATGTCCGTATCAATAAGAGTACATATGCTTTGAAACCTAAATAAACTGAGGCAAGAAATTCAAACTTTAAACAAATACTAAAAGCTATTGGATCAAACCCATCCTTGTAAATCAGTGTAATGTTATTGTGACAACCGATTTTAGCGACCATTCAGCAAGGCAGCTGAGACACTGGATCAGTGAAATCCTTCAGCGGACTTTACACGTCAAAGCCAGAGCATTACTGATCAGGGGCGAAAATGATTCCGTTGGTTGTAAACAGAAAAATAGCTTTGAAAATGATTGAATAAATCAATGAAAGTCTTGGGTGAAACCAGATGTTTGCAAAATCCCAATAAAGATCTGGAAAAAATAGGTCCTCAGTACCCCCTGCCAGCTGAAGAGGATCCGGCGGTCAGTCGTGGTGACCGATATCATAAAGTCCCGTGGTCACTTTCAGCCCCTTGGTGAGACTCCATCTTTTACAGGAGGTCGGCGTCAAACAAACACGTTCACTAACTCAAAAAATAACAGAATCATAACGGAAGTTTGGAAATGGATACTATCATACATTGTCGATATCACTGATCGATCACACATTATCGATATCACTGATCGATCACACATTATCGACATAACTGATCGATTACACATTATCGATATAACTGATCCATCACACATTATCGATATCACTGATCGATCATACATTAATACATTATCGATATCACTGATCGATCATACATTATCGATATCACTGATCGATCACACATTATCGATATCATTGATCAATTAGCTCTTTCGTTCCTTGGTTCGCCGCGAAAAGCTGGCAGACTGGTGATGCGGCGTAAAGCAGTATTCACTCATTCACTGGTTGTTGTTTGTAAAGTTCACCTCTTTCGAGGTGTCACAATCGAAGAGCATGTTGCTAAATGTATATCAGACGTAGGTATACACCTTATCTTCACTGCCGAACAGCCTCTGCTCAATCCGGGACATGAGGGAATCAAACAGTGGAAGGATATCTACATCGTGGGAAAGTAAATGGCGACTTTAAAACATGAAAATACTACTGCAATAGAACTGCAATAGTACGACAAAAGAGTTCTTTTAGGTCAAAGTCCCTGCTATCGTCCAGTTCATGAAATCCAATAGCGGATCCAAGGAGGGGATGGGAGTGGGGGGTGGTGCTTCAGAGGGTTCGAACCTCCCCCCACCCTTTTGAAATGACTACAGATCGCATTGAAGTTAATGTTTTGCATTGGTGGAGCCGGGGAACGTCAGGGGGTTCAAACCTGCACTCCACTCCACCCCACCCCCTTTAGAAATTCCTGGATTGGCTTATGAATCCAGTCACCAAACCACATACCAATTCTTTGCCCAGTGACTCAATCATTCCTTATTCTTCACTCAGTCCCTGATACAGTCAATCGCCCACTTATTCGTCAGCCGTTTTTCCCCAAACCTACTTATCAACCAGCCCATTTTTCATTCACCCAATTATCAATTATCACACGATCTGCCACTCATGCTATATTCGCCCATTCACCCATCCTTCACTCACTGAGTCAAACAGTCACCCTTGATTCTCTCAGTCTTCTTTTTCTTTCTTCTTCTTCTTCTTCTTTCTTCTTCTTCTTCTTCTTGATGCTTCTGCTTTTTCTTCTCCGTGAAGGTCCAGGTTAGAATTGATCTTCAGTAACCCATGCTTGTCGTAAGAGGCGACTAACGGGATCAGGTGGTCAGGCTGGTTGACTTGGTTGACACATGTCATCGCATCCCAATTGCGTAGGTCGAGGCTTATGATGCTCATCACTGGATTGTATGGTCCAGACTCGATTATTTACAGACCACCGCCATATAGCTGGAATATTGCTGAGTGCGGCGTAAAGCTAAACTCACTCATTTAACATCTTGTTGAAACAAACGTGCACGGCGGTGATAAACGACTGACGATAGTCGGGACAATTTCCGGTGCCTTTCGCTGTGCCAGATGTTCCCAAGTAGAGATACATGACGCCTGCTACGTGCACGTCCCTATCACGTCCATCAGCTAAGAATCCATAATGCCTAGCTATATATTAAGTGAGTTTCATGAGTTGGAATAATTGTGGTTTTGAGTTTCACCCATGCCGGAAGATCTATCAGTTCAGCCTACGATTGTATTGATTCGTCTTCTGATGCCGTAATATCCTTGTAATCTAATCCTGCAGATGATCTATAATGGTCTTATGCATCTTGACAGTTCAAATGCATCATGTATTGCTGCCAAGTAAATGATGTCTTGTTCAATTCAGTCGAGGAAGTGCTGCTCCCAGTCCCGCAAAGTGGTCAGGCTCGCTGACTTGGTTGACACATGTTATCGGTTCCCAATTGCGTAGATCGATTCTCATGATGCTGATCACGGGATTGTTTGGTCCAGACTCGATTATTTACAAATCTCCGCCATATAGCTGGAATATCGCTGAGTGCGGCATAAAACTAAACTCACTCACTCACTACTTTTTGCAGTATGTGTTATGATGTATACATGTAAGTTTTAGAATCCATTATGTATAATCTTGTAAAGACTAAGTCTGGAATAAATTAGTGTGTGGTGTTTTACTAGCGAGACTTGAATCGATCACATGACTATGAAAGCCTCATGGATAGAGTCATGTTATCGTCGTCAGTGCAAAACCAAGAAAACGGTCACCATAGCAACCAAAGAGCGACGACAATGCGACAACACTACATTTGGACTATGTGTCGTCTTGTCACACTTTGAATATTGCTTTTCCTATCTGAAATATGTGACGGGCGTAAAAATGCACGACAATGTGACGTATTGTCAGTGTCGCCATGCCCCATTGTTTCCTTTCGTGGTGCGTATCTGATACACGTCGGTTAGATAGCCAGCAGCATCCAAGTGCCTAACACTGGACATTCCACCCACAAGTCTCCCCCTACAGCCCATAACCATAACAGCCCAGTACCCCTACAGCCCATAAACATAACAGCACAGTACCCCTACAGCCCAGTACCCCTACAGCCCATAAACATAACAGCCCAGTACCCCTACAGCCCATAACCCCTACAGCCCATAACCCCTACAGCCCATAAACATAACAGCCCATAACCCCTACAGCCCATAACCATAACAGCCCATAACCCCTACAGCCCATAACCATTACAGCCCATAACCATAATAACCCCAGTACCCCTACAGCCCAGCCCAGTACCCCTACAGCCCATAACCATAACAGCCCATAACCCCTACAGCCCATAACCATACAGCCCATAACCATAACAGCCCAGTACCCCTACAGCCCAGTACCCCTACAGCCCATAACCATAACAGCCCATAACCCCTACAGCCCATAACCATAACAGCCCAGTACCCCTACAGCCCAGTACCCCTACAGCCCAGTACCCCTACAGCCCATAAACATAACAGCCCAGTACCCCTACAGCCCATAACCCCTACAGCCCAGTACCCCTACAATTAGTTAAAACAACAGGCGGCATTTACCTGTCTGGCATGTATCCTGTCTTGGATAGAGACACTGAAACACTCAGTCTTAAACATCACGTTCAATATTGCTGAACCTTTGTTAAAATAAGAGACACTGAAACAATGTACTTGGATGGAAATTGATATTTAATATGTTATGATATTATGATATTTAATGAAGTTAATTAAACCTCAAGTTCAATATTATTGAACTTTTGTTAAGATATTTTTGGTATCATCCATTCAAAGCATTCTCTAAAACTCTTAGTTTTGTTATTGCTCATTAAAATCATTCTCTTAACTTCCTTGGGCTAGTCCATTGTAAGAAATAGGTAACAGGCAGGAGATTAGCAGTGCACTGGAGCAAGAACTTTGCTATTAGAAGCTGTAGGAGTTATGGGCTATATCTGTTTTGGGAGGTTACCGGTGGTACACTGTGAAACAACTAAACTTCTCATCAAAGCGGCGTTAAAGTGTGACGAAACCACACTTTGATGAATTAAAAACAGACTTCACAATAACCTTGTTTGTTTGTTTGTTGGTTGGTTGGTTGGTTGGTTGGTTGGTTGGTTCCGATGTCTGTATTGAATAGTACACACTTAATACCTGAGATACCGACAACACGTTAACCCCACATCTCACTCCTCCCTAACGGGTGTATGTATGTGTGTCACCGACAACGCAGTCAATTAAAATATGATAACGAAACATCATGTTCTGTTAATAATTTCAAAATAAGCAGTAACTAATTGAAACTCTGCAATGACAACTCCACATATTGATAAACAGTCTCGCTGTTGCCGCGTTGCCACAAATCCAAAGCGAAACATGTGCCCTTTAGTATCGAATAAATCATTTAATAGGATTGAATGAACTCGAATAGCTCTTAATTCCACGACTACATGTTTGATTGGACCAAAGTTGGCCACTGTACTGTTTTACATATAGTATTGTGTTTGTGTTTCCTGTGGTATTTGCATCGGAGTGATTAGTTCACCTGTCATTTGATTGACTGTGCCAAACAAACGATCACTTGAGTTTAAAAACGAGGTTTTCTGTGAATGCATAGAATTATTCACTTGCTACATAATCATTGGAAAAGGGTGACAACGCCACATTGCGATCATATCAACATGCTGCTCGTTGTTATAAGGGCGAAAATAGACATTAATTCAAACTGAAACATACGCGTTTTGAAAAAATATCTTTAATAAATGCCATTCATATAGGTTTACACAAGTTACAATGATAGACGAATACAATACATGTGGTGAATGAACATTTCGGATACCATATTACAAACCACTGACTAATATGTATTACAAATAAAATTACATATATATCCACCTTATACTGTGAAAACATTTGGTTTTATTGACCGGACAAAATTATCACATGATACTTTTCCCAAATACGTTAAACTAGTGCTCTAAACTCAACAGTGCACACATCACGAACTTACAAGCATTGTTTCAAATGTGACCAAGATTATTTTCAAATTCGAGACATGTCTTCAGAAATTCAGAAATATCGATACGCCAAAACATTTACTTCTGAGCGCGGAAACACACACATTATTTACAAAATCATATAATATACATGTACGCGAGTAAAACACGAAAGATACCTTCTACCGAAACAGTCAAAGTAGAAGTTCCACAGGTAAAACATGAAGTGATAGTTACCGACACAATGTGATTGACTTGTATATGCTCATGATTTAGGATAGTTTCGAGAACTCGTGCCCCAAGTGACGTGTTCTGCATGATATATGACGATTCCATATCCATCTTCGACATTAGTCAAGCCATTATCCACGTTGTCATTAGCAGGTAATGTTAGCTCTGACTTTAAGACCTTCATTACCGTTAGAGAAACGGGGCGAGTGAATACATGACCTAGCAGTTTCTATTGCTCAGATGTACCATCATTTGTCCTCTAAAATATTCATCTGCCATGCTTGTTTGAGCTTACGATACGGTGACATCGCTTTCAAATGAGTCTTGCTGCTGTAATACGGAATTAGAATCGGTTTCCTTCAGTCAATCTCAAGTTACGTCAAAGTTTTCATGTAAATATACGGTTCTCAGTTTCAGTATTGAACAAAGCTTGACATACAGTCTTCGCAGCATCCTAGGGAGCCAGATCTGCTGCAACAGAGGCAAGCTGGGTTCATCCGCTTCTCCGGTTCTGACGTTAGACTTACGCCGTCACTCCTCTTCGCCGCTCTCTTACTGGAGCTGCCGCATACGTCACAGCAGTAGGAGTTGGTGAACCGGCTGACCAAACAGCAGTTACAGCCGACGAAGCGCCTGTCACGTGACATAGGCTCACTTCCGGTGAATTCAATTGCAGACGTATCAGACGACCTCTTTGAGTGAAATGGAATAACGGCATACTTGCTGCTCCAGCATCGGAGACACACGAAGTAGTTGTATGTGCGCGCGCAGTTCAAACAATCAGAGCTGATTTCCCTCTTTGCGTAGTGTCTGTAGCCAAAGTCTTCATCTGGAAAGATACTGGCTGTCGCCGTTGCCAGGCAGACAGCAGCCACCAACAAGCTGTTGACCACGAGAGTGTTCCAGGATACCATGTTCAATCTCTGAAACGAACAAGAAGAGATATACACACTACAAAGTCGAATCGTTCAACGTGACTCGAATACAAATGAGATCGACGAATAAATATTCGGTTTCCTCTGCTTGTAAGAGTAAAGTAAAACATGGACCGAAGGTAAAAATGTGTGAGCCGATGGCACCGATAGTTCTATATTTTGTCAATCACTGGATGTCTTGGATTAACAAATACATGGAGCTAGGACAAAGCACAAACATTGCAAACATTGGTGAGAACAATCAATGGTGAGAACAAGCAATGTCGTGTACCAAAAATGGTGAGTACCAACAATGGTGAGAACCAGCAATGGTACGTACCAACAATGGTGAGTACCAACAATGGTGAGAACCAACAATGGTGAGTACCAACAATGGTGAGTACCAACAATGGTGAGAACCAACAATGGTGAGTACCAACAATGGTGAGTACCAACAATGGTGAGTACCAACAATGGTGAGTACCAACAATGGTGAGAACCAACAATGGTGAGAACCAACAATGGTGAGTACCAAACATGGTGAGAACCAGCAATGGTGAGTACCAACATTGGTGAGAATCAGCAATGGTGAGTACCAACAATGGTGAGTACCAACAATGATGAGAACCAGCAATGGTGAGTACGAACAATGGTGAGAAGCAGCAATGGTGAGTACCAACAATGGTGAGTACCAACATTGGTGAGAACCAACAATGGTGAGAACCAGCAATGGTGAGAACCAGCAATGGTGAGTGCCAACAATGATGAGAAGCAGCAATGGTGAGAACCAGCAATGGTTAGTACCAACAATGGTGAGAACTAGCAATGGTGAGTACCAACAATGATGAGAACCAGCAATGGTGAGTACCACCAATGGTGAGAACTAGCAATGGTGAGTACCAACAATGGTGAGAACTAGCAATGGTGAGTACCAAAGTCCACAATTCAAGAACACTGCCTCGCCGAATCGCCTATTGGAAACTAGTGTGAACAAACACCGTAATGTCTATACACGCCAAAACCAACTGATGTGATGTCAGAAAATTAATAATGAAGTGACTCTTTTACAGTTTTGATTCACATTGGTGTACAAGTGAAATGCGTTACCTACCAATGTTCTCAGCAATACCTAACAGAACTAACGTATGAGACCCAGGGCCTCGTTCTACAAAGCGATCAGTATAACCAAAGTGTAATTATAGGGTACGCTATAGGAGCTACAACTATCGTAGCCCTTAGATCACTTTGCGGAACTGGGAGCAGCATTCCCCGGCTGAACTAAACAATACATCATTTACTTGGCAGCAATACGATGAAAGATGCATTTGAACTGTCTCGTGACTGAGGTCAAGATGCATAAGACCATTATAGATCATCTGCAGGATTAAATTACAAGGATATTACGGCATCAGAAGACGAATCAATACAATCGTAGGCTGAACTCGTGATAGATGTTCCTGCATGGGTGAAACACACAACCACAATTATTCAAACATGAAACTCACTTAACAGTCAGGGATTATGGACTCTTAGCTGATGGACGTGATAGGGACGTGCACGTAGCAGGCGTCATGTATCTTTACTTGGGAACATTTGGCACAGCGACGTAAGGCATCGGTAATCGTCCCAATTATTGTCAGTCGTTTATCACCGCCGTGCACGTTTGTTTCAACACGATGATAAATGAGTTTAGTTTTACGCCGCACTCAGCAATATTCCAGCTATATGGCGGCGGTCTGTAAATAGTCAAATCTGGACCAGACAATCCAGTGATCAAAAGCATGAGCTTCGATCTACGCAATTGGGATGCGGTGACATGTGTCAACCAAGTCAGCGAGTCTGACCACCCGACCCCGTTAGTCGCCTCCTGGGTTACTGAAGATCATTTCCAACCCGGATCTTCACGGAGGGTGGTAAATGACAGCGCTCTGTAGCTTTTTCCCCACACTTCGATTTCACTGAACTGCTGTTCATCACATTTACTCATTCAGCAACTCTCTCTCGTGCCTCGTGTTACATTACATACCTTTGCTTGTATCTTAACATGACAGTGCTATGATCTTAAATCGTTTCTGTTGTTTTGTGTTTTAATGATCACCCTGTTTATACAGGCTCATGTGCACAATGTACACACTGCCAGCCCCTGATTTCTCCTAACAAACAATTTGAAACACCTGAATTTCTATTTCAACGGCATTTCTAAACTCAAAACCCCAAATAACTCAAGTAACCTATCTACTAAACTTAAATTGTCTGCTATGTTTGAGTTAAATATCGATTTTAGTTAATTCTGGAAAATGCATTGCCATGCGTTTTCTCAAATTTGAGTAAAAACTTTAATTTAAGTCAAAACTCAGACTTCAGTTTGTTTCAAGAAATCGGGGCCAGATCTTCAGAGACGTGGGACCGCCAGTCAGTTCTCTGAAAATATCGACGAAGTATTCGGAGAGAACTGTAACTTTGTAAAATATTTGTTTTTGTGCACGTCCCATTATACTTCAGAATAATGTATCAAAGTGTCAGTATTCATGTTGAAATGTTTGAGATCGGCCAAATATTTGCATATAGATAAGTTACAAAGGCCTTAGGTCAGACATTTCGTGTGATCGTTTGAAATAGATAAATCGAATTCCGAGCTCTGAATATAAAGTAGGTCTCCACCACGTTAAGACATTAGCCATCTCTCAACAGAGAAAGGTGGGTGTCGACTTACATTCACACTTCATTTGTAACGTGTTCTTGGTTTTGATCGCCCCAAACGAAAGCGAGATTTCATGAATCGGAACGAGGCTTGAGAGTGGGAAAATGCATGAGCCACCTGACATGATTGTGACAGATGCATCCTTGGGAAATCGCGTGTTAACGATCAGTCGACGTGACTTCCATTTACACCCTGGCTGATTTGACTATGTCCGTATTGCATGCTGAGGAGAGCGTGTTTAGAATTCTAACTAACAATGGTGTTACAATGAAAACCACAGTGAGACTCCACACAGGCAAATAGGGTTGCGCATCAAAGAGAAAATGGCCAGTCTTCCCATAATAGAGCGAAGCGAGCAAAGGTTGGCAACGTGCTTCCCTCGCTTCGGTTCGAAAATATTTTTAATTTCAAAATAAAATATCGTCATCATCAAAGGTAGACACCCATTTCCTCACAGAATTGTGCTCTCAGAATTCCAACCTTATATTTAATAATTGCTCACGAACAATATATTTAATTCAACATTTTAAGCGCAAATTGTGGCATGTCAAATCGTTCTTCGCCTCCATTACCCCTGCCAGCTTCCAGTTCAACGCAGTGAAGGAACAAGAATAAGCAGAAATTAAACACAAATATCATATTGTATAATTTTACCGTTAAACTGTTGGGGATTATTTTTTCTTACCTGCCATCATTAGTGATAGAATTTTCGTAACATTTATTCTACAGAAACACTTCTGGCGTAACGGGTAAATAAAATAATAGCATATTTAAATATAACTCCCCTGTTCCTTCACTCCATTGAACCGGAAGCTGGCAGGGGTAATGGTTGCCAACCTTTGCTCGCTTCGCTCACACATGGGAAAACTGGTCATTTTCTCTTTGCTGCGCAACCTATTTGCGCTACAATTTGCCTGTGGACTCCATTACTCACAGAATGGCGTGTGAGTTAAGTTTGACACCCTTTGTAGCGCGTTATATTAGTTCGCTACAACCGTAGGTCGTTATATGCATTTCAACTAAACTATAGAGCTCGTGGTCGGGACAAAACAGTTGGTTATAGCTATCACTTCGTTATAAGTATGTGCGTAATAAACGTAGTTTACTATGCAGTCGTTCATCACTTTGATGAAAAGTGAAATGCCAACGCCAACGCCAACGCCAACGCCCAGGAACAAGTCTCAATCATCCACGGGGCGCAACAGGCACAACGGCGGTGGTATGGATTTTGATGGACCACTTAAAACAGCGATGACACCATGCGATCACAAAACGCTAAGGGCACGTCCTGCCCTATGGATAGCATCAACCATTCACGGAAATGAAGGTATTTGTCCCTCTGCTCGTATTGAGTATAATGTGTCGTAGTAGGATTTACATAGGCGGTGGGGTAGCCTATGGTTAAAGCGTTGGCTCGTCACGCCGAAGACCCGGTTCGAATCCCCACATGGGTACAACGTGTGAAGCATTTCTGGTGTCCCCGCCGTGATGTTGCTGGAATATTGCTAAAAGCGGCGTAAAACCAAACTCAGTCAGTCAGTCAGTAGGATTTACATATATGTCATGCAATGTAAACCGGTGCAAGCAGTCACACGTACGCACCACCCACACGTGCACACAATTGCATGAGCGATATAAACCTAAACAATTTTTATCCATGTCCTATTTCAACTCACCTCACCTCATATTGGTGACAAAATAAGTTTATAACAAAAACATTTCAAAACCTGCACAATCTACTTCGCCCACTACTAGGACGTCCGAGCCAATAACGTGTGGAGCTAGTGATGTATGTATGTAAACGCCGAGAACAATCAAATGATAGCCTACACGTTCTTCAGCACTTTGAAGCTCAAATCTTTCGCAAACAAAACCGTAGCAGAAAGTAATTGCGCATTGATTAAGGCTTTGTTTGTTCATCATAAGCCCGTCAACCTGTGTAAATAATATGTAAGTGGAAAGAACACGTGCTAAATTCCCAAGGGCCACATGTCACGTGCATCACGGAGGGTTGATATCCGCATCCTATCCCTAATTAAGGTTATGTATTTAAACGTTAAAGGTCCCGTGAAATTGATACACATTTTGTCGTGGTGTGGGTCACTAGGACATAAATGTACAGATGACAAGACAGCAAATGGTGCACATGCTTTTTGCAAGAGTTACTTTTCATTTATTTCTATAGATGTTTGTGAATATTTTTTTAGTTATTTGAAGATAAGTATAAATATTTTAATCATAAATTAAGAAAATGTTTGCTGGGATACGATGACATATCATATCCCGTTAAGGTCCGGGTTAAAATATT